TATACCTAAATATCGAATATAAAGTAAATTAAAATCTGCACTTAAGCTCTTTCGATTCGGTAATCGACATAACCTGTCACAGATTTGATACGTGCATTTAATTATTATCAAAATACCTCCTAATATGTGAGGCAAACGTCTAAACAAACATCAAGGTGGCGATTACAATAAATTATACAAAATGCTTAATGATGCTGTAAAAGCTTTATTTTATACTGGGCCAAAAAATGTAAAAAGGCTACTAAAGAATTAAAGGAATTGTTTTGTGAGTTTCGATGAATTGGGCTATTTTCATTCAGTATGTAACTCAGTAAATTTATTTTAGTTGAACGTATTATAATATCATTATTAATTTTAGATGGAAAGCTTAATTTAATGATATTGAAAAAGCTAAGAAATATTGCATTCCCTACTTTTTTTAATATCAAACTTTTATTATAGATCTGATTCTTCTTATAATATCAGTTCATCCCAAGAAACTAACACATCAAAAAAGTTGAACGGAACCATCCCTCACATTACATATAATCGTACTGGTTAAAATAACTAAAATATACATATGGGGCCTTCCATAGCAAAAGGGTGCATTTGGCCAAAAAATTTTTTTTTATTTTAATTGATTTCTTGAAGAATTAGATTAATAGGAATTTAGTATTTATAAAATTACAAAATTAAAATTTTTGTCCCAATGCAACCTTTTGCTGTGGGGTCCCCGATCACTATATCAAGATCACGGGAGGATTATTATTCTAATTATCTAAAAAATAGTTTGTAAGCATCGACTGCACCATAGTCATTTTTTTTCCCATGATCTTTTGTCCATTTTCGTGCGGGAAAAAAACCAAGACGGTGCTTCAATTATGAGCTTACACCCCTCGACAATATTTTTTCACAACCAACACCTGCAAGCAAATGTAGTCCCATTTTAAATTTGACTTGACGTGTTTTAATAGAACAAGCTGATATCTGGTTTCCTCTGCTTTAAATTTTTTTCGAGCAGTTAAATATTCACGATAGGCTTGTGCTGAGTTAGACATCAAACTCTAGGATTTAGAAAAATTACTGTAATAATAAGTAATATAATTTATGACAAGCTCTTGAATTTATACTGACACGATATACAGTAATAAGATTTTAAGGCTTTGTTAGTTATTTCAAAAATGCTTAATTTTGTATTGTTTTTTAAAAAAGTAAAATAAATTAAAATTTTAATTAATCTAATTCAATAGTTTTATCTTCTTGCAAAGAAAATATTAAATTTGGAAATTATTTATTGATTCTTTTATAGTATTGGGTTGTTTAAATTGTCTGGGTGACCGGACAAAGTTTTTAAATAAATTGATAAGTTTGATTGGTCAAAATGCAAATTTCGTTCTGTAGTTCGGTCCATAGGTACCTATTATTAACTTATTGTAATTTCACTTTGCGATTTTATTTTGTGGTGTTAAAGCCAAGAAGCATAGATCTTTACGAGTCATATAAATGTCGATTTCAATTACAAAACGTAATATACAGTTCTCGCTATTGTTACAGAAAATCTCTGATAATTGATTTTTCGCACTCCAATGAGAAACATTATCTTAACCAATAGTTAAATTGATTGAATATTCCTTAAATGTAAACAAGAACATGAGGTTGGTTCCAACGTGAGGTCAATTAATATTTTTTATGATTACTAATCATTGGCGGACTTTAAATACTAATTCACCTCACGTTGGAATCAACCTCATGTTGGTC